CAACATCATTCAGAGGTTGGTCAAACACAGAATAAAACCGAAGCGAGAAAAGTCGATAACCTGAAAAGTGAGCATGGGGGGAAGACGGAGACTGCAATATTGCAAGAGTTCCTTTCAAGTGAAGGATGAAACAGGGGAGCGATGAGCACACGTGATGGGGGACTGTGAGGGAGATCAAGAAAAAGACTAAAGGAAACAGCGGCGGCCGAGTAGAATAATCTAATTAATTGGAGTGAATTCAGAATGTGAAGTCGATAGCACATGACAAATGTGAAAGAATAGCCCGTGGCATGTTAGTTAATGACATGTAATTAATGATCATTAGCAAAAGGGATAAGGGGACGACCGTGGCCTGCCAGCAAGTTAGAGACGACCTTGCGCTTTTCTCATCCGTGTTTGGATGGTATTCCTCTCTGCGCTTGTGGAAAGCACTGTAAGGGGAAATAAAGGAGATAGGGGTAGAGACTCCAAGACACTGAGACAAAACAAGGATGGTAAGTATTTCTATTGGGGGACAGGCAAAAGGAGAGTGGCATGTGTAGCGAGCAATAAGTCAAGGATGAGTGAGAACAGAGCAGAGAGCGAATTTACTGCAATCCCGCTGTTTTGTTGTTCTGTTTTTTTCTGCTGACACAGTGATGGAAACAGGAAGCTTTTTTCTTTTTTTTTATAGGTCGCATGCCATTTCACTATGATCTATGGATGCAGACCCTTTGCAGACTTATACTGTTGAGCATGCATTATGTGGCTCAGCCAAGCATGGCCATTTGGGGTAGAGAGGAATCACCCCCCACCCCAGCCACACACACAGTTTCTAAAGCTCTCTCACCCTCTCTGTAGATTCCTTTCTTCTCCTCCTTGTCTCCCTCTTTGCATCTTTCCCATTACAACATAAAGCCTCTTAAAAATGGCATAGGGAATCAAAGGTCTGAGGAAGGAGTAAGCATTTTATATAGCCCTAGTCTCACCTTGCATCCTGTTAATGTGCCTTTGCACATTATTCACACTTAATATGTTGCTACAAACCAATGAAGAAAATATAGAAATCTCATTTCTGCATTGGTGAATAAAATGTAAACTAAAAACTGCAACATCCATAATAGGAAAAATAAGTTTTGCGATTAATTTAATAGCAAAACTTAAGTAAAATATCTTTAAGTAAAATTAAAGTGGTTGATCAAATTTCTATTGTTTTTATAGATTCTAAATGACTATGCTTAAAAGGAAAATGTATGTAATCGAAACTTATTTAACATTTGTAATTACAATGTGATGCTACTATCCGATTAGTGCCACTAGTATCGAGTGGGCTTTGTGGCTATGCCTGTGATGCATCTTTTCTGGCATAGAGAGTGGTTAGGTTTATCCACATTGGCTGAGAGCGCGTTTCATCCATATCAAAAGTGTGTGTGCGTGCGCGCCAATGTGTTCACATTGGTCCATACAGCCAGACTACTCTAATGAGCCTCGGGGCTGCTCATCCTCTCCCTAATTGGAGGAAAAACATATCATGTTGGAAATACGACAGCGTTTGAAAGGGAAAAAAAGTATACGAAAAGCAAGAAGCAGGGAACATAATGTGTGAGAAAGAGGAAAATGGTGAATGATGAAGAGGGCAAGATAAAGGGGTATCCACAAGGCTCCTTCTCATCCAAGTTCCCTCTAACAGTAATGACCAACATTGTGACATGCAGGCCACCACAGGGAAAAAAAAAATTACTAAAATTGAAGGAAGAAGTGACATTTTTGCTCCCATTGGCTTGATTGAAATGATCTGCTGTTTTAAAGGACCAGAATTATTGGTCCTGCTGCTGCTTTTTCCTGTTGCAAGAGGACACTGACCAGGGCGAATTATACTAAACAATATCCCCATGTAAAAAGCCAAAAGCTCGGAAAATATTTCTAACAACAAAATAGTGGAAATGACTTCCTGAATGTTTTAAAAATCATTCATAGAACCCTTTAAAAGGGTTTTATGAATGAGCAGTATCTACAAAGACACCCGGACAACCGTCCACGTAAAACTCACCAATTATTTCATTACTTACACCTTTGCAAGTACCAGATGGCATTCAGAACTGCCTTAATTCTTTATTAAATAGACGCTGGAAACCTTCCTTGGGGATTTTGGTCATCACACGTAAACATCGCGCAGTTGTTCTCCATTTGTCAGGTGCACATCTCTAATCCAAATCTCTTATTCTGCAACAGCTCAAAGGTGCTCTACTTGATTGAGATCTGGTGATTGTGGAGGCAATTTGAGTACAGTGAAATAACCAAACCAATTTGAGATGATTTGATGTGGCATGTTATCCTGATGGAAGCAGAAGATGGCTACACTAGGGTCGTAAAGGTCAGCACGAAAAAGGGTTTCCACAAATTGAACCAAACCTATTCTTTCATGTTTATCATGGCAAATTTTGGCCCTGCTATTCACATGTTGTAGCAGAACTCAAGACTCATCAGACCAGGCAATGGTTTCCAGCTGAAAGAACCTATGTTCTTCTGCATACCGTGGTTGCATTTCAGTTACTGTTGTTTTTCTGAGGGCTCAAAACAGTCAGCCATTCTCATCTGACCTCTGACATCAACAAGGCATGGTTTTTTTTTAAACAGAGAACTGCCACTCACTGGATATTTTCCCTTTTCCACAGTAAAAGTCAAGCAAATCATTTTTCTTCCCCGTTCTGAAGCTCAATTTGAACTTCTATAAGCCATCCCGACCATGCCTACATGACTAAATGTGATGAGATGCTGCCATGTGATTGGCTCATAAGATATTTGTATTCACAGTCAGTTGACTGGGTGTACTTAAAGTGGACGGTCACAATCTGAATTCTATAGTTGGTCCAAAAATGATTAGTAATTTATCTATTAAATCAATACAATTTTATCCAGGAGGGAAAAAAAGAAAAAGTGTGAAATTATCCAAGCCAAGTAAACCAAAAAGATTACATAAATATTTGTGTGTGCAGTATACTATGAGCCTGAGTCACTATTGTACACCCAAGGACTGCACCAATGAACAAAAAATTTCAACTATGTATCTGAAGATATCCGATTTCCCTTGCTGTCATGCATCATTTAACACAGAAAGGACCTAATCTGGAATTAATAAGCAAAAATTCATGAAAATGAGCCACGGGATATTACAAAGAATATCATCAATCACAGGCAAAGGTGAAAGTTAAGTTTGTTTACAAGTCTTTAGTTTTAGATTTTAACACATAATCTTTATAACTCTGTGACTCATTTGCATATTGTGTGTATACACATTTTAGTAGGATTATTTAAGTCTTTCACTTCAGCTCTAGTCCAGCTCATTTAGATTTTTCTAAATCTATCAGCAAGCATATCACATAAGAATGTAAGCATTGCCATTACTTTATTAGAAAATCTTTCTGCCGTTAAAAGCCTCCATTTCCATGTCTCCAGTAGCCGTACTCACAAGTGTGGCTGCACATGTGTGTGTATGTGTGTGTGTGTCACAGCTCATCTATCTCCTGCAGAGTCCACCGTCACTTGTTCAGCAGGGTCTAATTTATGCGCTGGCGGTGGCGCATGCTGAAATGGCATCATTTCTCAGCGCTAACCCCTGTGTGCTCCCTCACACTTCCTTTCCCTGCTGACAGCTCCACCCTAGGCATGATTTATCAGGCCCTCAAGCAGCAGACAAAGGTGCCCTGGCACGTGTGCTGTGCCACAGAGGGATTAATAGATAAACACTGTGATTCCAGAGCCAAACACAAGAGAGGGTCAACTTCATAATGTCTCACAGTGCCCAACTGAGGTCAGAACTATATGTTGTGGACAGCAAGAGGAAGTTTATGTTCCTTAGATCAGCGGTCCCCAACCTTTTTTGCACCACGGACCGGTTTATGCTCGACAATATTTTCACAGACCGGCCTTTAAGGTGTCGCGGATAAATACAACAAAATAAAACTAGTACCGGTACCGAAAAAAAGAAGATTTATTCATAACACACGTGAAAAGACCCAGGAAAACCGAGTTAACGATAAAAACAATAACAAAATAACGCTGAAAACCGATAAAAACCCTGAAAACCATACATTTCACACCTGAGCCTCAACTCTCGCGGCCCGGTACCAAACGGCTCACGGACCGGTACCAGTCCGAGGCCCGGGGGTTGGGGACCGCTGCCTTAGATGAAATCGAGTTAAGAAATAGTTATGTAAAAAAGATAAAAAGTGAGAACATGTTTTATTTAGCAATGCTTGCCATGTAGCAAAAGATTACAGAATCACTCTTGTGAAGGTAATTTTCTGTTTCTTCAGGTTCGCTGCTGTTATTAACAGAGCAATATGAGATCAAGAAAAACACATGAAACAGCGTTGGCTGCTTGTGAAGGTGGTCTAAACATGTAACAGCCAATTTAACCTTGTTTTTTATGTGCACAAAGTGAGAAATCAAATGAACTGAATCACTGAATTTATAATGCTGTTATGGAGAATGGAATTATGGTAATTTGGCTGAGCATTCAGCTGCATTGTTTAAAGGGCGAGCGGATTAAAAGAGGCAGTGGATGGTTAACATCTCATCGTAATGGGATGGAGCGTGAACCCACCCAAGAACACCAGTTTTTGTGAAGCCCTCCCACAGTGCACCCAATCTCATTATACTAACACAGGATAAAAACTTCAAAATTCACTTTCCTTAAAGGTAAGGCTGTAAGGCTCTTCAACAGGAAAGTAATGAAAACGAGAAATGATCAGTGGTTTGCTTTACTTCAAACACTTTTATGTCCTTTTACTAAGACTGAAATGTGTGAAAGCTAATGTCCTGGACTGGATTATAGCACCGGATGCCATAGAACAAAATGCAGCATATAAAGCAGTTTGTACTTGTGTGGGTACAGTATGTGTGGAATAATTAGAATCTACTGTTACAGCCTTGTTTTCTCTATCAGCATCTCACTGCCCTTGTACTGTCATTAAATTGGTGCACCGACAAAAGTCAGTGTGTTCTAAAGTGATGCCTACCGCACTGCTGCAGGGAATATCTTTGACTTTCAGCCAAGCAAGGTCCAGGGTGCCCTCTCCCTTGTAGCAGGACTGTAGCCTTTCCTTGATTTTCTCATTGATCTTGCGCAGAGAGAAAACACACAATGCAGAATCCTGGGAGGCCTGGCGTGGACGTCTCTTCTGGCCCTTTGAGAATATGGCGAACAAGACATCGTCATCTGGTGCCACATCTAGCGAGCGTGCCAGGATAGCACCAGCTTTTGACAGGTAGGCTGCCTCAAGTAATCGGTACTCCACGTTGTCGCTAATGCATCCAATAGGCACCTCCACATAGGAGTTGAATGCAGTGTCTGCCTTGCAGAGGCGGACTATCTTAGAAGTGTAGACCTGTTCTCGACCAGCAGAGGACGATCCAGTGGTCGGCCCACCTCCCATTTCAGGCTGCAGTGTCAGAAAGTAAACAAAGTTCCCACTGGCAAAGCCATAAATATAGTATATGTCAAAGTCTGGAATGACAGTGAAGGTATCTGAAGGGATTTTAATCATAGAGGCCACAAACTCATCGTGGAAGACATATGCAAACATGCCGTCCTCCTCTGAGTTTCTGGCCAACTTACGGCTAGAGATGGTAGGGAAGTATTCTGGCTTGCCATCCACTGCTGTGGCTACAAACAGCATGTCTGGAGAGGCGTTGCCATAAGAAACAATGACACCAAACACAGAACCACTCTCATTAACACCAGAGAGGTAGTGTTCCTTCTTGTGGAAGGGCTCTCCTAGTTTAAATAGGTCATCCAGACGAAGGATTTTACAAATGCCCTGGTAGAGACTGCCACAAGCCAGCAGCCGGTTCTCCCGATAGTCCATCAAAAGCATCTTGTTGACATTGTTAGTGAGTGTCAGTGGCTCACTGCAGGGTTGGACAATTCGTGGTGGATAGCACTTGCGATTGTCTTCATCTGGGCCAGTCTCATGGGATTTTTGGACCTCTAAGTTTGGGGACAGTTTGTATATGCGATTGACAGCTCCCAAATAAACATTGCCATTACGATAGTCCACAGCCAGGTGATTAAATGTCCACTCAGGATTCTCTGCATGAAATGATGCATACTCCTCCTCCTGAAGTAACGCTGTGATCACTTGGGAGCCAGCAGTATGAGTCTGTGGAGCTTGCACCACTGTTTGTGATGTCACAGGAAGCACCAGACTAGATAGGAAGCAGCATAGTAAGAAATAGGTCCGTATCCTAGTGAAGGACGTCATGGCTGCACTGAGGGTGGGACTGGTGAGGAGAGGGACAGAGGCACAATCCAGTACCGTTGGCCTATCAGGACGAAGCCTCTCTTCAGATGGGAGACATCTTGTACCTAAAGAGAAAAGAGACAAAAACCTAATGAAACACTGCAACTGTCACATTGTGTTGATAGTTATTATGTTCTAATTTTATCTGGCACAGATAGGCCAGAACATCTTAATGAGTAAAACAGGTGAAGAGGCCATACATCTGAGACTCCAGAGCAATTTATAAGAAATGGGCTAAACAGAAAAAAAAGAAATGAGGCTGAGGTACTGCACCATTCTAAAAAGCTGGCATGTAGACACCGCTCGGGCAAACAGGATCATTTGGGGGGGGGGCGCAGAGAAGAGAAGTAAAGCATCGTCTCAGAGGAGGTGATCACGATGGCTCTGCACCATCTCTCTGCATGCAACCCTGCCCCTTTCCACCCCTCCTTGCTTTTCTGCTCCACTCGCCATGCACCTAATTGATTCTCCCCTTGGAGTAGCAATTTGCATGCTTTGGCGATTTCTCTCTTTTCTCCCAATAGGGCAGCTCACCTGCTGACACTGCTAGCAGAGAGTAAAGGACCATCTCTCCCTCTTTAAAGCACCTACATACACACACGTGCTTTCACACACAAAAGGCCGAAAAAGATACAATTAGGGAAAAAATGCAAGCGGTTGCAGAAATAAGCTTCCCTGTGGTCCTCAGGTCATTTGCACACTCAGCATTGCACATGCAGCCATAACAAACACACACACACTACATGAAATCAAACGACAATGAAACGGACGCACGATGAAGTAGGTAGAGCTTTTATAGCTGTAGTGTCAAAGCACTCAGCACACATTAAGAAACACACCTGCACAGATTATCAAAAAGAAAATACAGCACTTCCTGGAAACATGGGGGTCCCCTATGTAAGTTCTGTACACCCAATGCCAGTGGTAAGCTGGGTATTATGACTAGTGATAAATACAATAACAACGTCATGTAGCTAAAATTACCACGTATTAAACTCCACAATATTGGCTTCATAGCATAGTGGTTTGATCCCATGAGGAGACACAATCTCTGGGGTTGTGTCAGTAAAGACATTCAGTGTCAAAATCTGCTAAATAAAACATGCTGAGCTACCTGCTGAGGCACCCCCTGTGAATAAGGGGACAGCCAAAAGTAGCTTAAATAAACTCCACGTTATTGAATCAAATCTGCCAGGATTGTTTAAAAATATAGGGTTGTATTTTTCTAGCATATACCAAGAGCACTAAAGAGATGAGTATGATAAAGCAACACCTAGAAAAGCAGCACAAGAAACGTCATCTTCTCTTATCATATTCAATTTATAGCAATCTGTGCACTGCTGTGTGAGCGTGTCGTGTGAAGACACGAAAAACTCTTGACGTGTCACTCATAGTGAAGTTGAAGTAAAATGCGAGGGCTTGTCTGTCACACTTCATGCACATCTTTTGCCGGAAGAAAGGCAGGTTTGCAGAGCAACAGCACAGTTCTGCTCATTGCAAAGTTTTTAAAATAAAGATAAAAGTTTCAATATCATCTGCACTTGTTCTAACTACTAACAACACATTTTCCACATTGCTATTATAAATTTGCAGACTTTAAAAATCCGAATTCTTTTGGAAGCCTTAACCTTCAAGATCATTATGGACACTTGAATGCATAAACGATAGTGTTACCCAACATTATCTTGCCATGGAACTTATTTTACGTCTATACTCAAGCAATCATAAGTCACGGCGGTGTAAAATGCAACCTCACTGCAATCTCACCAATCTCCCCTCTATCTCCTGGCAGGCAGAGGGAGAAGAGCAGAACCTCTCAGCTCATGATAAGAGGACCAGAGAGGGTGATGAAAATGATAAAAACTGATATAGAGAGGTGGCATGGCTTCAGATGTGTGTGCAAAGAGCAATCATTACCATAGGTATGACAAAGACATAAGACAGAGAAATAAGCGGCCAAGACAGGAACATGGATAAAAAGCATGCAGTAGATTGAAATTCAGAGACAGACATAACAGACGTAGAGTGACCAACACTGCACAAAACACTATAAACAATGTAAAAATTAAATTAAAAAAAAAAATTAACAAAAAATAAAA